TCATGATTCCACATCCACTGTAAATGATTTTTAACTTTATCTCATTTCCATTTAGATTGATTATAGTTTACAGGAGTAATGCAGACATATCCAACACCAGCATGATCTTGCAAAGTTAACAGACGGTTGCTTATAGTGTTATCTCCTAGGCACAACATCACGACTTCTAAAGCATTTCACTTACCTTTTCGTCTTCTTATCTACACATTTTTGAGTGGCCAAAGCCACAGAGATATTATATTTAAGCAAGCTGATTAACAAAATGGGCAGCTTGTACTTGTTGAGTAATGCCCATTACAGAAGCTGCTGCTGAAGCCATAGCAGTGATTACTGTAAGAATGCCAGCTAACACCTGACCTATGAATCTCCACTTTCTAGAGAGAGCCTGATGTAGTTCAGGGAGAGCCTGTTGTCCAGTGTCACCATACCTCATACCATTAAAGGACACAGGGGCCATAACAAAGGAAAGCCGTGAAGCCAGAGAAGACTCTTATGAGCAGAGGAGGAGTCCACACATTTAGAGAGAATACGATGGATATGGGTAATTCTGAAGTGTGCCCCACTTTCTTGAATAGATAGACTCTCAGTCAGTAAAATATATATGGAGAGTTAACACAATCAACTAGTCCAAACATAAAAAGATGTCCATATCATAGTTGCTCCACAGGCAATCATGTTGCTCAGGGCAACCAAGGGTCTGGCTGGCATTTCTTTCTGGAGACATTTTAACAGGACACAGCTAATGAAGAGATTTATCTCCATCCAGACCAGATACCTAGATGTTTAATGGGACAAAGCAGAAGGGTGCCCAGCATGGCCTGAAAACTAGACATCTTTGTGGGATGACAGAGGGTTGGGTATCTAAAATGACCCAGGTCCTACCACTTTACGGGAGAAAGGAAAGAGGTCCAGCAGGGATAGACCCCAATGGTGGGGGCAGCATGGTGACATTTGCCTCCCAATGGGCTGATTCATAGGGGTATAAATGGACTGATAGTATGTTGTCCATTGTGGCCTGACCCTCAGCAGTGTATTTAGGGTAGTTGTGGGGGTGAAAGGGTATTTAGTAGGCTATGATACATAGCAGTGCATGGGGTGGCATGCTGGGGATTTTCCTGCCCGTCTTGAAGTATACCTGTATGTTTATGGACAGTGGTGGGAAGGGGGATGTGTCCACCAAGGCCTGAGGCCTAGAACAATACATAGGGTGGAGACAGCAGGCAGGAACTGATCCATCATAGTAGGGCTGAGTTACCTAGCAAGACCCCAAGTATATGAGGGGTCAAAGGAGGATCAGGGCTTGACACCTAGTGGTGTATATTGGAGCAACCAGCAAGGATTTATTCCTATTAAGTTTATGTTGGGCTCTCTGGGGGCGGTGCATTTGGGAGGTTTGGTAATACTATACGTGGGTGGCTTCAGGGGAGGACGTTGGGTGGGTTCTGCTTCCTAGAAGTTTACATGTGCTAGACATGACCTCTCCTTTTGTTGCCTCACATACTCTGATAGTTTTCATGCTATGCTGGATGTCCTCTTACACTACCCCATATAAACATCTACACATCAGGCCTGGCTAGACACCTTATCACACACCGTATCACTTACACTGCTAGGAATCAGGTCCTGCTGAAGACCTAATTCTCATAAGACTTGTGAAACATCCATTGCAATGTTTCAGGTTCAGTTAAATACTGCTATGTGATCCCACAGTACATATTAGGTATAGGGCCCTGCAAGACAAGCACCAAAGGTTGTCACCTAACATGCCCCTGCTTTTTATCAAGCCCTTCTGGATACATCCCAGTTGCTGTGCCACTATAAGTGCGCGCACGCGCGCGCACACACACACCACTCCTCTTGCAGGTACACAAAAAGTACTATGTATTGGGTACCAGTTGGCCACTGCCCTCTATCCCACATAGATGCCAAGTATTAGGCCACAGAATATACTAACACCTCCAGCAACACCCAAATACCCTGTTTTCACTAGGCCCTGCTGGACAACCCTATCTCTCTGATCCGCTGCCCAACATACACTGCTGGACATCACACACTACACAGACATGCTACATGAGCTGACCAGCTTCCCCACAGCCAGAGCCCACATGGTATCAGGCCTTGCCCAACAACCCCTGCAGTTCTGCATACACTGCTACAAATCAGGTCCCCTGGGACCCCTCCCAGCCCACATTTTGTGATAGGTACCCAGCAGTGCTGGCTACATCCTACCTACAATGCCCCTAACAAACAGTGGTATTAATCACACCCTGCTAATCATATCCCCATACACTTACTGCTGTGTATCAGGCTATGTGATCCCACAGTGGACCACGGACCCACACAGCTCCAAATACACTTCATAACGTGCCCTGATGAACACAGCCCTGCCACTTGGCCAGACATATTACTGATTATTTGTTCCCACTGCTCCCGCCTGACCTCCCATGCACTACTAGATTTCAGGTCTGGTTAGACTCACCCCTACCACACCGTCCATGTCGCTCATACAGTGGCAGCATTACTGACTGCTCACCAGCTCCCTGCATTGCCTCACACATGATGAGGTATCAGGCCTTGTAGGACAGCACCCATGCCCCACCTAAACTGCTAGGTACCAGCCCATTTAGGAACCCTCTCCTTCCCCCATAAGGTACCCCATCAGGCACTGTTAAACTCACCCTCCACTCCTGTAGTCTACAATGTAAGTCTACACGCCATGATGATCATTCCTATTTGCCCAGAAAAACTTCTAGGGCCATGTTCAACCAGATAGTAGTCCTGGGTCTCTGCCCACAAGTACTGCTGGGTATCAGATGCTGTGCCCTTCATATACAGTGCTGGATAGAAGACCATGAGCACCCCATGCCCCACAAATAACACCATGCATGGCTAAGCATTAGCCCAAGGGATACACAACATCTCCCTTACTGTGAGACATCCAGTCTTGCTGCTCTCCCCAGACTGACTGCTACGTATCAGACTTGCTGGACAGCCCCATACTTCACACACACACACACACACACACACACACACACACACACACACACACACACACATACACATACACACACACACACACACACACATACACATACACACACAAAATCAGTGACTGAGAGAGTAGACATCAAACCCAGCAGAAGAAATCCAGCTAGCATGTGAGCATTTATTTCTCTCTGCTCTTGACTGTAGATGAAATGGGACTAATCGTTTGAGGTTCCTGCCTTGATTTCCCCACAACGATGGACTATAACCAGGAATTGTACACCGAAATAAACTAGCTTCTCTGCCATGTTGCTTTTTTGTCAGGGTATTTTATCACCACAACAGGAATGGCACCAGGACACCATCCCATGCCTGGCTCCTCTACACTGCTGGGAATCTGCATGTGGCCCTGAGTGTGGGGGCGGTAGGGTATTTAGCAGTTCTGATAGCAGTGTGGGGGTGGATGATCCTCAGCCGTGGTGCCCAGCTTTAATCTCTAAAGCCTAATGATACTCTGCAGAGCCCACCTGAGCCAGAAGCTTTTAAGTCCTTTCCGTTTCTGTGAGTTTTGCACAGCCATGACCTGCACATGTCCTACTGTGACCTCACGAGGAGCCATTGTGAGAGTCCACCCAGCGGATATAATGGTGTGGCCTGGCCTGGTTTCTGTGGGTATAAGAGGTGGGTGGAGTTTTAGCCTGTGTGATTTACTAATCTCTAGTGAGGTTGTGTGCAGTGTGTGTGTGTGTGTGTGTGTGTGTGTGTGTGTGTGTGTGTGTGTGTGACTGTGTGTAGGTGTGTGTGCTCTGTGTGTGTGTGACTGTGTGCTGTGTGTATATACATCCTTGTGTATGTGTGAGTGTGTGTGAGTTCATCTGTCGGCCTTGTTCAGCTACTGGTGAAGGCCAGAGCTCCAGCATCAGTGACTCCCTAAAGGTAGGTGTCAGCCTTAATTTCCAAAGCAGTCATTTGCTGGCCTGTGTTTCTCCACTTAAGCTAGGCTGGCTGGCCAAGGAGCCTCTAGGATCTGCCTCTGTCACCTGTGTGCTGAGGTGAAAGCTGGTGACACCAGGCCTGTTTTGTGTGGGTGATTCTTTGTTCTCATTATTGTGGTGGGGAGTGATCTTTTACATCTAACTCAGGACCTCATGCTTGCAAGGGAAATTCTTTACTGAATGAGGCCTCTCTCGAGCTCCTGGACACTTGGTTTTCTGTTTTTAGTTCTATTTATTTTTCTGCTTATAATCTTATTTTTCTCTGGTGTTTAATGGTTGTGTTTGAGGCTTTTTTTTTTTTTTTGCTTGTTTTCTGACTTGAATTTTTGTTACACATTTTTAATTTTTTATTTTCTTTTTTAATTTTAACATCCTTTAATCTTTTACTTTTTAAATTTTTTAAATAACTTTAAAAATAGTATTGATCATTAGTAGTGTTCTTGATCTTTGGAGTTTATACCTATTTGGCTTGTGGTTGGTTTTGATTTTCTAATTCTTGTTTGGTGTGCTTTTTATTTTGCCTGTCTACCTCCATTTACTTCATGGACTTTTGGGTACTTCTGTTTCTGTTTTGATTTCTTCAGGCGTCTCGGCTTTCCTTGGGTTTCTTTGATTGGTGTTGTGTGTAGCTGGTCTGGTTTTGGCTATTGGTTTTAAAATTTTGTTTTCTTTTGTGTATTTATTTACTCACGCATTCTTGTTCCAGGCATTTCTTTCCCTATCCCCCAGTTCCTGCTGAAGTTTTTTGAGTGGCATCCAGAACATTCCTGAGCTGGGATCCTTCCACTTTAGTGGATGGTGAGTTAGGTCTTGGCTTGGGTGTCGAGTTGGGGTTTTGTCTGTGTGTGTCATTGGTGCTAGAGTTGAAAGCTACTTGTTGGTGGGGTTTACACTTTGTCCTTTGTTTTGACTTTCTTGCCCAGGATTTTGTGACTTTCATTCCACATGTCTCTGTACATTCCCTTATATCTCCTGTCTCCCTCCCCTCCCCTTCTCTTCGACGCAGCATCACTACCAACCATGTCCAGTGATACGGAGGAGGAGTCCTCAGAGCCCAGCACCGTGCCCAGCATCTTTGGTGAAGAGGTATTCACCAGGCAGTACACCATCCTGAAGGCCTTAGGCCAGGGTGGCAGTGCGAAGGTCATGCTGGCCCTGCATCGTCTCACAGGTGCCACAATCGCTGTGAAAGCTCTGGTGAAGCAGGAGAAGCGATGTGAGCCGCCAGCGTCTGAAGTCGATATCATGAGGATGCTCAGACATCCTAACATTGTTTCCCTCCTGCAGGTGATAGAAACAGAATGGAACATTTATTTAATTATGGAAGTGGCTGAGGGAGAACAGCTATTTAATCGCATCCAGAAGTCTGGATGCCTGAAGGAAGATGAGGCTAGAAGCATATTAGTTCAGCTGTTTAGCGCCATAGGCTACTGCCATGATGAAGGCGTCGCTCATAGAGACCTAAAGCCTGACAATGTCATAGTGGATGAGCACGGAAAGGTGAAAATTATTGACTTTGGCCTAGGTGTCAGATTCAGGCCTGGGCAAAAGCTGGAAAAGCCATGTGGCGCCTTCCAGTTCATTCCTCCTGAAGTCTTCCTGGGCTTCCCTTATGATGGCCCCAAAGCAGATGTCTGGACCTTGGGGGTCCTCTTATATTATATGGTGACAGGGATTGTCCCATTTGCAGGGGACACCTTGTCAGAACTCAGGGAACAAGTTCTGCACGGGAGGTATGACATCCCCTATCAGCTTTCCAAAGACTTAAGGAGCATGATCAGCCTATTACTAACAGTGAATTCGAGGCAGAGGCCAACTGTGCGGGACCTCATGGGTCACCCATGGCTTCAGAAAGGGGAAAAGATGTTTACAATTCATTGCAATGGAGATACCAGCTGCCCAGACCTTGAAATTATGGCAGCCATGCAAAACATTGGGTTTGACGCCCAGGATATAAGACAGTCTTTAAAACACAGGAAATTCAATGAAACCATGGCTGTATACTACCTATTGAGGTATCAGGCATGCCAGGACAATGACAGTAATGTCCACACAAAGGTAATGAACCCAGGGACGACACCTTTCCCTTCCGTTGAAGACCCTGACATGTTTTCCCTGCCCCTCAGGAGAAGGGCCAGTGAACCTTCTCTTCGGATATTAGTCTCACCCACAGAAATCTCTGATCAGAGTCAAAGGAAGGAGATGGATGACCCTGACCTGCCCGAGAAGACACCCAATCTGGGCAGAAGTCACAAGCGCTCTATGACTGCGCCGTGTATTTACTTACCAAGAGACATTGTGATTGATGTGGAAGACACCAGCTTCTCCAGTAGCTCCCAGTCAGAAAAGGCCTCAAGTGGTCCAGAACAGAGCAGAACTTCAACCTCAAGCTCCCTGCAGCCCAGGGGCTGGGCAGGATGGAAGAAGAGGATTCTGGCATGCATCCTCAGACTATGCTGCTGCATGTCACCACACAAAAGGTGTCCAAGGAAGGTGTACCCCCCAAAGTGAGGGGACACTGAGGTGACAAGAAGTGTGAGGCATGGTCCAGGTACGTTTCTATATTTGCATTTATCTATGCTTTTACTCATGGCCTGTGTAGAGACAATTATTTTTAGGTTCTTGGTGTGCAATGAGTTGGGAGGGTCTATCTAGATAATGTGTGATGTGAGGTCCCCTAACATCAAAAACAACTAAAATTCTTTCTTACTCCAAGAGGGAAGAACAAGGACTCAGTCACAATCAAATCAAAACCAATGTCCTGTGTAAATCAGATGCTGTGGTTCAGTATCCCAAGCCCATGCCTCGGGCTCCTCTGGGCTCCACTCCTCCTTTGTGTTCCTGTGATGTGGTGTCTGCAGCACACACGTCCTCTCTTGTCAGGTCAGCCTGGTTAAAGCCACACCCGTCACTATTCTTGTTGGTCATCCCACAGTCCTGGCTCCTCCACCATGCTGGGGTCTGCTCTGCAAGGAGGCTACATCTTCAAAAACGGCCTCTCACAGTGCCGAGCCTCAGCTGTTCTCCACAGCCCTTTGACCCTTCAGCTTTCATGCATCCAACACCAGGTCCACATGGGAAATTCTGACGCATTATCAACTCTGGCTGCCAGCATGAGATGCAGCCCTTGCCAGCCCTGGACCACAGCTTCTGTGTGATGACCCTGAGGAAATACTTTTCAGGAGATCTTGGCTCCATGATGCCTGTGTCTTCTTAGTCATTGCTCATGTCTTGGCCAAAGCCAAGTTGCATCAATTGTCCCAACTCAGCAAGGTTTCTCCTTAATGGTTCTGATCTCTTGTTAATCAAAGCAGAATCTTCAGTCTTGCTAACGAGAAACCATAGGTTATTAATTCAAAATATAGACTAAATGGCTCTGATAGTATCTGCTTTCTCTCTCGAACATCACCATCCAGGCCTCCATTCTATGCGTTTTATCATTCTTCTCTGCCATCCCCCACCTGACAGCCCATTAAGCTTTGAGAACAGAGGCTCAGTGCAGGGTTCCAAACACTTCCACAATCCTCCCCATGCCAGCATGGTCAGCTCTATCACAGCAAAACCCCACAATCATGGTGCAATTTTCTGTCTTAATTTGCTTTCTGTTGCTGTGATGAAACACTGACCAAAGGTAATGTTGCTGGGGCTCAGGGTTTATTTGGCTTTCGTGTCCCAATCACAGTCCATCATTGCAGGAACCCAAGATTGGAACTCAGAGAAGGAACTTATGGGCAGGAATTGAAGCAGAGACCATGGAAGAATATGTTTTCCTGGCTTGATCCCCATTATCATGTACTGCTTTCTACCTTATACCCCCAGGACAACCTGTCCAGTGATGATACCTCCTACAGAGGCTGTGTCCTCTAAATCCATCATTAATCAACAAAATGCCCCCACAGGCTTGCCTCCAGGCTCTCTGACTTTCTAGATGACCCTAGCTTATGTCAAGTTATCAAAACCCTAAGTAGCACAGCCTGAAGTGTAGTCCCTTAAACTTCAGAATGAAGCATATTTGTTTCAACGTGTCTTAAAAAGCCCTGTTTGAGCATGGGCTGGTCCATCCCAGACAAAGGGAAAAATAAGAGCAAAATAGCCCAAGAGTAAAAATACTGTTTCTGAGAACAGCTAGCAGGTCCATTGCCATTTCCAACAGATTTGACTATCATTTGTCCCATGATATATACATGCCTGTAGTGGGAATGAGAAGCCAGAATTTTCACCAGGGAAGCTCAAGTGAAAGCTGGATTGGAACCCAAGGTGGCAACCTCAAAAGTTGTCTCCTTATGACGTTAACCTGAGGCTTGCGTGCCCCCTGATTTGATCCTGATTAGATCCTGTCACATTTTGATTAGTCTCTCAATTGGGATACCCCAATCCTTTCTGGTTGATGTTTGTCAACCTCCAATGTGAAGTATCTTTTCTATCTACTCTTCTATAATGTCATTTCAAGCCTTTACTTAGATTTGAAGTCCTCATTCCAAGCCCAAAGCACGGTGATTGTAGGCCATTATGCAGGATGTACAAAACCATCTTTTTTGGTGAAGAACCAAAAAGTTGAACTAGAATTAAAGCGTAGAATGATGTTTATCACAGAATGAGAATGGAGGAAGGTGCGGCTGAGACTGAGGCCCTGGGTCTGATTGTGATGGATTTCACAGTGGGAGGAGCAAAGAGAGATGTGATGAGAAGGTGACAAAGAACTAACTTTCAGACAGGAGGAACCAGCTTGGAGAGCAATGCATTACAGGGTGTTCACAGTCGTTAAGAGTCCCCGTCTCGGGCCTCCTTGCACTTAAAGTGGCCAGACACAGGACACTGAGCTCCACGATTCTCTAGTCATTGTGTCGTTCTCCTTACGTGGACACACACAGCTGCAAGAGAAGGGGTGTGGGAAATCCTGCCTGCTATGCGCTCATCGTTCCTGGTCTTGAATGTTCCTTTGTCTAGGAGGGAGGTAACACATAGTGGAGATTTCTACATGGGAGTACTCCTGCCATCTGGGAGTCTCTCGGGGGAATTCCAGTTGATGAGAGAAGGGCCATTGATGCAAAACAAACAGCTGGAAATAAACAGCATCAACTAGAACAAAAGGAACAATCCTCCTGGCTGCCAGACCAGGATCCAGGCAAATCCTCAGCTGCAATCTGGGGACACAGTCCCCCATCCCTCCTGCCCAGCTTCCTCTTCCACATAGAAGGGACAGAGGGAACAAACAGTGGATCTGCTGGAAACCACCCCACCACCCCAGTTTTAGCAGCCTTTGACTTGCTCTTCTCTGGGTTTGACAGGCTTTCTTCTGACTGGCCTCTCCATCTCAGCACATGCAGAAGCCCAGCCAGGCAGCATGGAAGTCTATCTTTTCCCAGTCTGCCTCTCATGTGGCTCCTGTTTCTGCCTGGTGTCCTAGTACCCAGGCGACCTGACATTAGAGGAAGACTGGGGAGTTCACAGTTGGACACACTGCCCTTCTTGTCAGAAAAGAAAGAGGAGGGAGGCTGGTGCTGCCCTCAAGACTCTCCAGAAATGGACCACCCCAGACTTGATGCTCCAGCTCGGGCTGGGAGCTCATTCCTGCTTCATCCACTAAAACTCAACCTGCAGCTACAACAGAGGGTCTTGCTCTTGTGGAGGGGCATTACCTACAGTTCTGCCCTCTGAGACCTGCTGCTTCTGGGAACTGCTCTCCACAGAGGACTGCTCTTCACTGGTTTTGGGGGACTCTGAAAGATGACAGTTGTAACTCTCCCAGTCTCTCTTGAATGGCATCCTGCTGCCACTGAGAGTATTAGAGTTTCTACTTTCTGGGTTGTATTTCTTTTGTGTGTGTGTGTATACGTCTGAATGATTGCTCCTGTGTTGGAAATAAAACTCCCTCTTTTTGTCTCCCTTCACTACCTGTCCATGCCAGTCTTTGAGGTAAGGCAGCCAGCTAAGTAGAACTGTGTCACAGTCAGCATGGAGTCCAGCCAGTGGTACCTCAGTAAGCAGGGACTTTAGTCAGCCAAGATTCCAGTCAGTGGGAACTCCAGCCAATAGGGATGCCAGTCAATGGGAGCTCCAGACAATAGGGATGCCAGTCAGTGGGAACTCCAGTCACAGGCAACTCCATTCAGAAGGGACTCCTGTGATCCAGGGAGCTGGGTCCCAGTCAGCAGTGTTTTTAGTTTTGGGGTCTCCAGTGAGTGGTCCATTCATTCATTGAGGATACCAGTTGGAGGGAACTCTAGTTAGCTTTGATTCCAGCTAGAGGGGACCACAAGCCATCAGGGCCCCGGTTCAGCAGGTCCTCCTGTCCGCAGAGACCTGAATCAGCCAGAATGGCTGTCAGAGCAGATGCCAGAGAGGAGTCCATCCTCTGGGCCTTCAGTCGATGACATTGGCCTTTCCAAGTATCTCTTCTATGGGTAGATATTAGAAGTCTGCCTGAAGCTTCTGGAGTCTATAGAAGCTGTTGTACCTGCCGGGTCACACCTAACTGCTGTCCCTGGAACTCCTCATCCAGGCCTCCTGTGGGCTTCACAGTGCCAGGAGATAAGAGGGTAACACAGTGGAGCGGGGTGTCTCCTGAGTTTTTCACAGAATTTGAATAAAATTGATGTTCATAAATCCCCATGGCATCTTTTTTGCATCTCCCTTGTACAGCATCAAGGTGTGTAGCCACTCTTTTAGTGGTGGGCAGTTAGAGTTATGCTGAGAATTAGCCAATAGCCTGAGGACAAGGGACTTTGAAGAGTTATTAAAGTCCCTCTAACACTGCCCAGAAGTCCACCTATACCTCCTCCCTCACTATTGGCAGTTTCGCTTTTCATTAGACCAATCAGGTGCCTTAGGCAGGCAAGGTAAAAGAGAAACACATCTTTACATAATAAAACAAATGCAACCCATCTTTACATAGTTAAACAAATATTCTGCAACATAAACAAATGCAACACACCTTTACATAGTTAAACAAATGCAACACATCTTTACATAGTTAAACAAATACTCCACAGCAATGGAAAAGTGATGTGTGCCTTTATTTTCTCTGGCTGCTCTAAGAGATTAAGAGTAGAAGTTGGAAAATCAATTAGGAAACTCACCTAGTTAGGAAAGGATTATGGCTTACATTAAAATAGAGATAATGAACTTGGGAGAGCTGCATGGATTTGAAGCTGTTCTTTGCAGGTGGCAGCTAGGTTCTTGAGGGTTGGATGTAGGATGAGTACATTGAAAATAATCCTTCACATGTTGCTAGATGTTGGGACCATATAGCTGTATGTAGAAGGCAGAGGATAAAAGAATTGATTTTGCAAAAAGGTCAAGTGTGGGCTGTTTCAAACTTGAAACACATGTGATTTGTTTCATTCGATGAAGCTTAGAAGGGATGTCCAGACAGGTTACAAACTTGTAAGTTTCCAGTATCAGAGGACTGCAAATAGTTGACACAATTCAAAGAGGTTGTGGACAGAGGACAGAAGGGTGGGGCCAGGCCCCAGTGAACCCCGCTAGGTTTCAGAACTGTGATGCCAGGG